CGGGTTGGCGTCTTGCTATATTCTCTTACCTTTTCTTCCCACCTTTCCCTTTTCCTTTTCTCAATTCTCCGGCGCTCACATGCCCTCCTACCGTGCCCTTTCCTCCACCCCCTCCCCTCCGCCTGACGGCGCATCCCTCCCATCTGCATCGCACCTTTTTCCTCCTTTGTCCCCCCCGTCTCCTTCGCCATTGCGGCTCGCTATTCCTGTCCACCCCCCCCTGGCGGTTTCCCCCTTTTACCTCTTGCGCCCCTTCCGGCCTTCCCAGTGATGCTCTCCCCTTCTTGCACGTCATTGTCGCTTCTGCCTTCTTCCCGTTGGTCTGGTGCGGTGCCGTTCTGTTCGGTCCCCCCTTTCCCTCTGGCTTCTTGACCTCTTTCTGACCCCGCCCCCCATCCGGCCTTGCTCCGAAGCCCCGCCCTTCTTCCCCTGCTGCTTCGCCTCTCCCCTTTGCATTGCATTGCGTGTCGCCCAGCCTGCTTCGCCCTCTTGTCGCCCGCTTCCCTCTCTTTTATATGCCTCCCTCGCTCTTTTGCCATATACTCTTCGCGTTGGACGTCCGTGGCTTATGCGCGGTCCGCGCCCTCCTCGCATGCTCTACCTTTTCCCTCGCCTTGCGGGCTCCTCTCGCGTGGGTGTGCATCCTCTCCGGTGCCCTTGGGGGTCGACCCCCTTCCCGCTCATGGCCGTTGTGTTGCCGGATCCCCTTCGCATGGTTCCGCTCCCTGGCTTGGGCTCATCTCGCTCTTCGCCCCTTTTCGCCGGCCTCCCCTCCCTTTTGCCCCTCGCACGCCCGCTTGTCTTGGGCCTTGCTGCCTCCCCCCTCGATCCTTGTCTCCCGCCACCCTTGCTGTCGTCGACGCTTCCCTTGGTCTCTCTCCTTCTTCGCCTTGCTTCCCCTCCCGTTCCTTTCTTTCCCCGTCCCAGACACCTTTATCCACGCCCTAATGCTCTGTTCTTGCTTCTTTGGGCCCTTTCGCCCTTTCGGCCCTTCTTCCCGGTGCCTTTGCGTCCTTGTCCCCAGTCACCCGGCTTCGGGACACTATCGCCTCTGGCTTATCCTTGTGCCGACGTCCCTCACTCCATGTTGGATCTCCCCCGCTTCCCCCCTTGCTTTTGGCTCTTTCTCCCCTGCTTGCCACCCTCTCTGACTTCTCCCCTGCTTGCCATTTCTATTTTCGTCATCCGCCACCTCCTGTTTTTCTTTCACCCGGCCTTCGAATCTCCCTGGCGTCGCCCTGCCGCATCCCATTGTGTGACTCTCTTGTGGTTAGTCTCGGCCGTGATGGTGTTCTCCGGTCGCGGTGCTTCCCCCTGTGGTGTCTCCTCCCCGCCCCCCGGGGCTCCTCCTGACGTGGGCCTCCGCCTGGTTCGGCCCGTCGCCCTCTGCATCGGTATCGCCCTAGCTTCGTGGCCCCGAGGTGCCCCCTTCCTTTGTCGGGGCCCCTTTTCTGTTCGCTGCGCCTTCGGCTTTCCTCTGCCCCCTTGGCTTCGCCCCATTTTCCTTCCCCGGACTATCGTACCTCGTCGGGCCGATTGTGGGGTGACCCTCGGCCTCCACACCCTCCGGTTGTGTCCTCCGCTCATCATTCGCCCAGCCACTGGCTGGACGCACTTCTGCCCGCTTCACCCTTCGGATCTCCTTCCCCTGTGCTGCTTCCCCCCTAGTGTGCGGCGTGGCACCTCTCTGCTTGCCCGTGCCTCACATGCTCGAGCCCTCTCCTCCCGCGACCCCTCCCTCTCGTGTCTGGCCCGGCCTTTTCGGGACCGTTCTATGCGCGCCGTTTTGCTTGCCCGCCTCCTCGGCCCGCTTTCTTTCCTCCCGCCTTCATCCCTCCCCGCCAGCCCTGGGGGTGGGTATGGCGTCCGCCGCTTTCTTGTTCCCCTCCCTTAGGCTCGCGCCACCCTCCTCCCCTCTCGCGTCTCCAGGTCATTCTGTTGTCTCCCCAAACCGCCCACCCCCGCTTTCTGCTGCCCTTACCCCTCCCCTTGCTCACCCTCATCACCCCGGTCCTCCTCCTTTCCGTCCCTCCCATCCTTGGCCCCTACCGTGACCTGTCCTCGCTACCACTCCACCCGTTTCCTTGTGTCCACCCCCCTCTATAGCCTTCGGCCGTTTGGGGTGTGGTTGCGGAGTGCGGTCTGGTAGGCCCCTTCTGTGGCTGCCCGCCTCCTCACCTCACTTCTACCTGGGTCTTTGTCCACACCGGCCGTGTCACGCGGCTGCCTCCCCCCACCTGCTTCCTTCCTTCCATTCCTTCCGCCCGCCCGGCGACACGCCTCACCTTCTCCTGGTTTACCTGGGCCCACGGCCCCCTCCCGGCCGCTAGGTCCGCACACTTCTCTCCCGCCGCCCGGCTCCCCCTCAAAATGAAGAGACGAACGGCCCGGTTAAGAACCGCCCGACTCACAGCCCCACTCAGGCCTCCCCTCTCACCTCACAACCTTTGGCTCTCTCCCTCGGGCCCTTCGGGCGCCCCTCGCCCCCCCCCCCCCCGCCTCGCCCGCCCCCCCCCCCGGCGCGCTCCCCGCCTTCCCTTCGCCGCCCTCCCGCCCGCCCGCCCGCTTCCCGCCCGCTCCTTCCTCGCCCCGGCCTTCCTTCCGGCTCCGCGGTCCCCCCTGTCTCCCCCCCCCCTCTTTTCCTCGCTCTGCTTTCCCCTTCGGGTTTCCCCCCTCTTGTTGTCCTGGCGCTTCTGCTGCTTCTTCTTGCTGTTGCTTCCTGCTTCCTGCGGCCTCTTGCTCCTCTTGCTCTTGGGCGTTTCTTGCTCCTTCTGCTGTTCTTGCTGCTTCCTTGGGCTTTTGCTGCTTCTGTGTTGTTCTTGCTGCTTCTGCTGTTTTGTGCTTCTTGTCTCCTTGCTGCTTCTGTGTTTGTTCCTCCCGCCTCTTGCCCTTCGCCGCCGCCTTGTCTTCTTGTGCTCTCCCGTGCTTCGCCCACTCGGTTGTCTCGTCTGCTCTTCTTCTTGGCTTCTCGGTGGGCCCTCGCCATGTTTTGGGTGTTGCTTCTGCTTCGCCCCGCCTGCTCGGTTCTGTGCCGTTCGTTTCTCGTCTTTGCTCCGTTCCTTGTCTCTGTGTTGTCGTTCCTTCCGTTGCCCCGTGTCTCCGCCTGGTTTCGGGTTCCCCCTGGTTCCCGGGCCGCCCGTGGTGCCCCGCGTCCGTGGGGGTCGGTGGGGGGTCGGGGCCCCACCCCCCTCCCCCGGCCTTCGGGCCGCTCCGGCCGCGGGCCGGCCGGCGGGCGGGCCGCTGCCCGCCGGGCCCCCGCTGCCGGCCCGTGCCCCGGCGGGCCGCCGGGGTGGCCCCCCCCCCCCGGCTCCCCGCTGGCCTTCCCCCCCTCGGGCCCCCGGCTTCCCCGTTTGCTGTTTCCCCGCTCCCGTGGTGTCCCCCGGCCCCCGTTTGTCGTGCCTCTGTCTCGTTTGCTCTTTCGGGTCCCGTTCGTCGGTTTCTGCGTCTCTTCTCTGCCTGCTCGTTGCCTTGGTCTCCCGTTGCCCTCGGTGCCGCCGTCTGCCCCTTCGGCCTCTTCTTCGTCCGTGCTGGCTCCCGCCTCCGGTTTTTCTCCGCTTTCTCCCCTTCCCCCTGTGTCTGTGGGTTGCTGTGCTTGTTCTGTGTTCTGTGTGCGTGTTCCCCCCTTCGGTTGCGCTCGGCTTGGTTCTCCTGCGCTGCGGTTCCGCCGCCGGCTCCGTCCGCTGGGCCTTCCTGGCTTGCCGTCGGCTGCCGGTCTCCTGGGCTGCGGTCCCGCCGCTGGTTGTCAGTCCGCTGGGCCTCCTGGCTGCCCTCCGGTGCCCTCTTTCCTGCGCTGCGGTTCCGCGGCTGGCTGTCGTCCGCTGGGCCTTCCTGGCTCCCGTCCGCTGCCCCCTCTCTTGGCTGCGGTCCCCTGTTTGGTTGCGCTCCCCCCTTCTGCTGCGCTGCGGTTCCTCGGTCGGTTGCGCTCGCCCCCTCCGTGTTGCGCTCCGGGGCCGGGTGCTGCGGGCCGTGTCCGCGCTCTCTGCGCTGCCCCTCCTGTCTGGGCCTGCGCTTGGTCCTGTGGCGCCCACCCCGTGTGTTCTGTGTTGTGCTCTGGCTGCGTTGTGCTTCTGGTGTGCCTTGGGGCTGTGCCTCTGGGCTTTCTCTTGGGGCTTGTTCTGTGGGTTCTGCTCCTTGTTCTGCTCTTGCCTTCTCTGCCTTCTCTGTTGTGCACTGCATCTGCTCGTTCTCACTGTTGCTTGTGTCTGGCCTTCTCTGTCGCGTCCTTCCCGGTTTTCCCGCTCGCGTTCGTCGGCTCTCTTCTCCTGCTCCCCTGGTTTTCGTCTCTCTCTCTCTCTCTTCTCTCTGTCTTGTCTTTCCCCGCGTTGGCGTGGGTTCCCCGCCTCTCTCGCTGCCCCGCTCTCTTTGGCTTTCCGGCCCGCGGCTTCGCGCCCTGGCGCGGCGCTCGCCCTGGACGCGTCGCCGTCGTCTCGTTTCCCTTTCGGCCTGCGTGCCCTGTTCTGCCTTTCTTTTCCGCGGCTCGTCGTTCGCCCGCCTGTGCCCCTGGGTTCTCTCGCCCCGGTGTGGCCTCGCCCCCGTCCCCTTCTGTTCCGTTTGGGCTTTCCTGCGCTCTGTTACCTTTTCTTCTTCCGTTTTCCCCTTACTTGCCCATCCGGGGGTTTCCCTCCGGTGGTGCCCCTCGCCTGGCTCCTTCCCCTCCTTCTCGCTGTGATCAGCCCTCGCCCCCCGCCCCGCGCGCGCCTCCCGGCTGTTCTCGTGCCCTCGCCCCCTCTGTTTTCGCCGCCCCTCCAACGTGGTCGTACCCGCCTGCCTGGCTCCTCGGCTTCCGCCCCGCGGCGTGGTGCTTGCTTTCGCCCGTCCCGCGCCGCCCTGCCGCTGCCCGCCCTGCTTCGTGTCTTCTGCCGACTCTGCGTCGCGCCGGTGGCTTTGCTTCCTCTCCACCGTATTCCGCGCGCTGATCTCGTTCCGGACCGCGTTGTGGCTCTCCCGGCTGCGCGTCGTGTCCCCCTGGTTCGCCCTCGGGCCCGCCCCCCCTCTGGCGCCCTGTGGTGCGGCTTGCCCCCGGGCCCTGCCAGTGTCCCCCCCCATCTCCCGCCGCCCCATTGGTTGCCCGCCTTATATTGCTCCGACCGCCCCGCCTTCTCGCGCTCCCCCGCCCACTGCTTTGCGTTTGGTGGAGGCCCCCCTTTGCCGCGCGCTGCTGTTCCTGTGGCGGTTTCGCTGGGGTGCGTTGCCCCGGTGTATTTAGTTCTGTCCGCCGGGCCCTTGCTTCCTGGTACCTGGCCTCCTGGCCTCTTCGTGGGTAGCCCCCCGGGCCCTGGTGCGTCGGCCGGTCGGCTCTCCTAGGCCGCCGTCCGCGCCTCGCCCCCTCCTCCTTGCATCCGGTGTCTTGTGCCGCGTGCGGCCTGGCTGTGGGCCTTGGAGGTTGCCCCGGCGGCACTGGTGTGGCCACTCCGCGTCCCTGTCGGTGGGCGCCGATGGTCCCCCGTCTCCTCTGGCGGGCTGCTCTGGCCGCCGTGGGCTTGGTTCCCCCCTTGGCGCCTCGGTCCTTCCCCCCGTCTTTCGTGTTCCTCTTCCTTCTTCTATCTATATTCTTTCCTTCTGTCCGCCTCGTTCTCTTTGTGTGGTCCATCGCTTACGTCTTGTCGCGGGCTCGTATCCCTTGTCCGGCGCGCTTCGTGGGTGTGCTATCGCTTCCCCTTCTGTCTTCGCATTTCTGTTCCCCCCTGCTGCGCCTCTTGTATCTCCTCTGGTCTCCCGCTCCCCGCTCCTCCTGCTCGCTTCTTTCTTCGCTTTGCCCCCCCCCCCCTCTTCCGTTTTTCGCCCCCGCCCCCCGCCAGCCTGATCCCTCCCGGTCTCCGCTCCCCCTCCTCCGCCGGCAGGTGCGTCCCCCCGGCCGCCCCCCGCCCCTCGATCTGGCAGCGCCTCCCTTTCTTTCCCTGCCGTTAGCGCTGTTGCCCTTTTCTTTTTTGGCAGCCCTCCCCTCCTCTGCGTTCCTCCGTGGGCCGGCCCTCCTTGCTTTCGATGCTGGCCTCCCTTGTCCTGCCCGCTTCGCCGCTGCGGCTGCCTCCCCTCACGCCGGCGCGTCCGCTCAGCTGCCAGATTAAAAAAAAAAAACCGCATCGGATTAGATCCGGTCGAACACACCCACAGCAGGTGTCGCCCAGTGTGGTTACCCCGCATCCCTCGCTCCTATTGCGCCTCCTCCTCTCGGCGCTGTCTGATGCCGTCCTCCCCCTTGCCGTCGGCCGCCTTCTGCGGCTGTTTGGGATTTGCGGCTCCCTTTGCCACAGCCTCGCTCCCTCCTCCCCGCCCAGGTTTTGCCTCCGCTTTCTTCAGTCCGTTTCCGCCGCTGCGCCCCGGCCTGCATCTCCGACGGCCTTCCTCGCCGTGCTGCGGCTTCTTGTCGGGCCACTTGCCGCCCGGCTGGAGCCGCCTCTCGTCGTTGGGACGCCACCGCCGCTTTCTGTTCTGCGCGGGCCCCCCCTGCCTCTCCCCCCTCCGCTCCCTCGGCTGCCTGCCCCCGCACCTCTCCCCCTGCCGCCCCTGGCCTGCCGCCTCTCCGGCTTGCGGCCGTCTTCCTTGCCAGCTGCTTACCCGGCTCCCCCGTTCGCTGCTGGAAGATAAGGCATAGAGCCGGTTCTCCCCCCGCCGATCTTTACGCTGGCCACGTGGTGTTGGCGGGCCGTCCGTCGCCTTGTGCTGCGGTCGCCGCGGCCAGCCGCGGTGGCTGCCCACCCTCCTCCCGGCCGGCGGTCGGAGGTGGTCGCGCGCTCCCCGGTCTCCCCTCTCCGCGCTCCGCCGTGCCTCAGCCGTCTCTTGCTTTCCCGCGGTCCAAGCGCCCCGCGCCGGTTCCGGCCCCTGTTCGTCGTTCACCGCTCGCCCGCGCGGCCCCCGTTCTACTCCGGCGGCCTCGTGGTCTCCCGCCGGGGCTCTCTGCCGCCTGCTCCTCCTGCTGCTGGCCCTGCCTCCATCCTTCCGGCGGCTCATGTTGGACCCGGCCCCGCTTCGCGTCGGCCCCGGTCCCGGTTTGGGCTCTCTCCGGCTTGGTCCTAGCTCCCTTCGTACCGGTGTCCCCCCGTTTGGTCCTGCCCCTGTGTTCGCCTCGTTCACCGCTTTCCCCGTCCCTTCCTTTCTGTGCCCTCCTTTGCTCGCGCTCCTCCTAGTTTCTTTTGCCTTTCCTGCTCTTGTCTTTTTTGTGCCGGCTTCCCCCCCCCCGGTCCCCCTTCTTCCAGTCGCCCCCTCGGGCGGTCTCCTCGCCCCTTCCCCGTGTCCACGTTTCCCCCCTCGCGTTTTGTGCGTTCCCGTGCTCCCTCGCGCTGTCCCCCTTGGATGGCCTCCAGCCGGCTCGGTCCCCACGCCTCGTGTGGTGCGCCCCTCCCGTCGATTGCCGCCCTGCTTTATCGTCACGCCCCTCCTTCTCCCGACTTGGGGTCGTGTGTCGCTTAGTCGATCGGGCCCGTCCTCCCGTTCCCACTTCGACTCGGGTTCCCCTTCTCGCCCTGTCTATCGCTCTTTTCTTCCCCGCTCTCATGGGGCCGCTGCCCCTAGTCGTGTCCCTCGTGGCTGTTCGTATCTTTGTGTTCTTTGGTTGCCGGCCTTCCCCCGTTTCCCCTGGTTTTCTTCCCTTCTGGGTCCCCTCCGCTCTCTCTCCCCTTTTCTGATGCGTTCGTTTGTTGGATCGCGCGCCCGTTTTCGCGCATTCTCTCCCCGTCCTCGCCCTCCGCATTTCTGGGGGTGCTCCGTCCGTTAGCCTCCCCGCTTTCCCCCTTGGGCTTGCCTCCCGGCCGTCCTGTGCTTCCCCCCTGCCCCCCCGGCCGTTGCGCGCCGTCCCGCCCCTTGTCGCCCCGGGCTTCGCTCTTCTTAGCTCACAGTCCGTCCCGCCCGCCCTACTTGGCCTCTGCTTTTGCCCCCCTGCCGCCCGTGCCTCCTCCCGCTCTCTTCGCAACTCGGATTCACGTTTCCCGGTCGTCTTCATCGTCTTTCCCCACCCGCCCCCCCGTCGCCCTTTCTTTCGTGTCTTCGGGT